CAAAGTGACCCCAAAACCCCCAAAGTGACCCCAAAACCCCCAAAGTGACCCCAAAACCCCAAAACCCCTCAAAAATGCCCCAAAATCCCCCCAAAACGACCCAAAATCCCCCCTCTCTCACCGTTCATCTCCCTCATGGCCTCGATGTGCGTGGGTGGGGTCCTTCAGGACCACAAACCACAGACCCCAAACCCCCAAAGTGACTAAAATGACCCCAAAACCCCTCAAAATGCCCCAAAATGCCCCAAACCCCTCAAATCCCCCAAAATGCCCATTCCCCCAAAGTGACCCCAAATGCCTCCAAATCCCCACAAAAATGCCCCAAAATGCCCCAAAATGCCCCAGAAACCCCCAATCTCACCGTTCATCTCCCTCATGGCCCCGACGTCGTCGTTGGGGTCCTTGAGGACACGAACCCACAGACCCCAAAACCCCCAAATGCCCCAAAATGTCCCAAAATGTCCCAAAACCCCAAAAATCCCTCCCAAAACCCCAGCAGCCCAAACCTCACGTTCATCTCCCTCACTTGGCCCCCGGACGTAGTCGTTAAGGGTCCTTGAAGGACACGAACCCACAGACCCCAAACCTCCCAAAATGACCCCAAAACCCCAAAATCTCCCCAAAATGCCCCAAAAAACCCCCAAAGTGACCCCAAAACCCCAAATCCCCAAAACCCCTCCAAATCCCCAAAATGTCCCCAAAACTCCCAAAACCCCAAAATGCCCCAATCTCACCGTTCATCTCCTCATGGCCTGACGTCGTGGTTGGGTCCTTGAAGGACACGAACCCACAATTTAAACCCCCCAAACCCCTCAAAAACCCCAAATGCCCCCAAAACCCCTAAAGTGACCTCAAAATGTCCCAACCCCCAAAATGTCCCAAAATTCTCAAAATGTCCCAAAAATGCCCCAAAACCTCTCCAAGCCTCCGTTCATCTCCCTCATGGCCCGGACGTCGTCGTTGGGGTCATGAAGGACAGAACCCACAGACCCCAAACCCCCAAAGTGACCCCAAAACCCCCAAAATGACCCCCAAAACCCCAAAGTGACCTGAAATCCCCCCAAGCCCCCAAAATGCCCTAAAACCCCCTCTCTCACCGTTCATCTCCCTCATGGCCCTGAGCGTCGTCGTTGGGGTCCTTGAAGGACACGAACCCACAGACCCCAAACCCCCAAAATGACCCCAAAAACCCCCAAAATGCCCCAAACCCCCCAAAATGTCCCCAAATCCTCCAAATCCCCCAAAATGCCCCAAACCCCCAAAATGTCCAAAAACCCCCAATCTCACCGTTCATCTCCCTCGTGGCCCGGACGTCGTCGTTGGGGTCCTTGAAGGACACGAACCCACAGACCCCAAACCCCTCCAAAATGACCCAAATCCCCCAAAATCCCCAAAACCCCCCAAAATGACCCAAAATGCCCCCAAAGTGCCCCAAACGCCCAAACCTCACCGTTCATCTCCCTCATGGCCCGGACGTCGTCGTTGGGGTCCTTGAAGGACACGAACCCACAGACCCCAAACCCCTCCAAACCCCCTCAAAACCCCCCAAATCCCCCCAAAAATGCCCCAAAACCTCTCAAACCTCACCGTTCATCTCCCTCATGGCCCGGACGTAGTCGTTGGGGTCCTTGGAGGACACGGCCGTAGCCCTTGGTCTTCCCCGAGCGTTTGTCCCGGATCACTTTGGCCTTGAGGAAGGACGGGAAGCGCCCGAAGGCGCGGCCCAGGGTCTCGTCATTGACCTCATTGCCAAGATCCCCGCAGAAAATACGGAAATCATCTGGAAATGAAACAAAAAACCATCCCAAATTAACCCTAAAATCAGCCCAGGGTCTCGTCATTGACCTCATTGCCAAGATCCCCACAGAAAATACGGAAATCATCTGGAAAATGGAAAAAAAATCATCCCAAATTAACCCTAAATCAACCCCAGGGTCTCGTCATTCACCTCATTGCCAAGATCCCCACAGAAAATACGGAAATCATCTGGAAAATGGGACAAAAAACACCACCAAAACACCCCCAAATCACCCCAAAGTCACCCCAAAGTCACCCCAGGGTCTCGTCATTGACCTCATTGCCCAAATCCCCACAGAAAATACGGAAATCATCTGGAAAATGGGCACAAAAACACCCCAAAATCAGCCCAAAGTCACCCCAAAATCAGTCCTAAATCAGCCCAAAGTCAGCCCAGGGTCTCGTCATTCACCTCATTGACAAAATCACTACAAAAAATATGGAAATCATCTGGAAAATGGGACAAAAAACATCCCAAATTAACCCTAAAATCAGCCCCAGGGTCTCGTCATTCACCTCATTGCCAAGATCCCCACAGAAAATACGGAAATCATCTGGAAAATGGGCACAAAAACACCCCAAATTAACCCTAAAATCAGCCCAGGGTCTCGTCATTCACCTCATTGCCCAAATCCCCGCAGAAAATACGGAAATCATCTGGAAAATGGGCACAAAATCACCCCAAATTAACCATAAAATCAGCCCAAAGTCACCCCAGGGTCTCGTCATTCACCTCATTGCCCAAATCCCCACAGAAAATACGGAAATCATCTGGAAAATGGAAAAAAAATCATCCCAAATTAACCCTAAATCAACCCCAGGGTCTCGTCATTCACCTCATTGCCCAAATCTCCACAAAAAATATGGAAATTGTGTGGGAAACAGGCAGAAAAACACCCCAAAATCAGCCCAAATCACCCCAAAATCAGTCCTGAATCAGCCCAAAGTCACCCCAGGGTCTCGTCGTTCACCTCATTGCCCAAATCCCCACAGAAAATACGGAAATCATCTGGAAATGGGACAAAAAAACACCCCAAATTAACCCTAAAATCAGCCCAAAGTCACCCCAGGGTCTCGTCATTCACCTCATTGACAAAATCCCCGCAGAAAATACGGAAATCATCTGGAAATGACACAAAAAATCATCCCAAATTAACCCTAAAATCAGCCCCAGGGTCTCGTCATTCACCTCATTGCCAAGATCCCCGCAGAAAATACGGAAATCATCTGGAAAATGGGCACAAAAACACCCCAAATTAACTCTAAAATCAGCCCAAAATCAGCCCTAAATCAGGCCAAAGTCACCCCAGGGTCTCGTCATTCACCTCATTGCCCAAATCCCCACAGAAAATACGGAAATCATCTGGAAAATGGGCAGAAAAATGCCCCCAAATCAGCCCAAAATCAGCCCAAAATCACCCCAAAATCACCCAAAAGTCACCCCAGGGTCTCGTCATTCACCTCATTGCCCAAATCCCCGCAGAAAATACGGAAATCATCTGGAAATGGGCACAAAAACACCCCAAATTAACCCTAAAATCACCCCCAGGGTCTCGTCATTCACCTCATTGCTAAAATCCCCACAGAAAATACGGAAATCATCTGGGAATGGGACAAAAAAATGCCCCAAAATCAGCCCAAATCACCCCAAAATCAGTCCTAAATCACCCCAAAGTCAGCCCAGGGTCTCGTCATTCACCTCATTGCCCAAATCCCCGCAGAAAATACGGAAATCATCTGGAAAATGGGCAGAAAACCATCCCAAAATCAGCCCAAATCACCCCAAAATCGCCCCAAAGTCACCCCAGGGTCTCATCGTTCACCTTATTGCCAAAATCTCCACAAAAAATATGGAAATTGTGTGGAAAATGGACATAAAAATGCCCCAAATTAACCCCAAAGTCACCCCAAGGTCTCGTCATTCACCTCATTGCCCAAATCACTACAAAAAACATGGAAATCATCTGAAAATGGGACAGAAAAACACCCCAAAATCAGCCCAAATCACCCCAAAGGTCAGGGGGACACCCCAAAATCAGCCCAAATCACCCCAAAATCAGTCCTAAATCAGCCCAAAGTCACCCCAGGTCTCGTTGTTCACCTCATTGCCCAAATCACCGCAGAAAATACGGAAATCATCTGGAAAATGGGCACAAAAACACCCCAAAATCAGCCCAAATCACCCCAAAATCAGTCCTAAATCACCCCAAATTAACCCCAAAGTCACCCCAGGGTCTCGTCATTCACCTCATTGCCCAAATCTCCACAAAAAATATGGAAATTGTGTGGAAAATGGGCACAAAAACATCCAAAATTAACCCTAAAATCAGCCCAAAGTCACCCCAGGGTCTCGTCATTCACCTCATTGCCAAGATCTCCACAGAAAATACGGAAATCATCTGGGAAATGGGCACAAAAACACCCCAAATTAACCCTAAAATCAGCCCAGGGTCTCGTCATTCACCTCATTGCCAAGATCCCCACAGAAAATACGGAAATCATCTGGAAAATGGGCACAAAAACACCCAAAATTAACCCTAAAATCAGCCCAGGGTCTCGTCATTGACCTCATTGCCAAGATCTCCACAGAAAATACGGAAATCATCTGGAAATGGGACAAAAAATCATCCCAAATTAACCCTAAAATCAGCCCAGGGTCTCGTCATTCACCTCATTGCCCAAATCCCCACAGAAAATACGGAAATCATCTGGAAAATGGGACAAAAAACCACCCCAAAATCAGCCCAAAGTCACCCCAGGGTCTCGTCATTGACCTCATTGCCAAAATCTCCACAGAAAATACGGAAATCATCTGGAAAATGGCCAAAAAAACACCCCAAATTAACCTAAATCACCCCAAAAGTCACCCCAGGGTCTCGTCATTCACCTCATTGCCAAGATCCCCACAGAAATACGAAATCTCTGAAAGTGGGCTAAAAAAACATCCCAAATTAACCCTAAAATCAGCCCAGGGTCTCGTCGATACCTCATTGCCAAGATCCCCACAGAAATACCCCAGGGTCTCGTCATTCACCTCATTGCCAAATCCCCGAAAATACGGAAATCATCTGGAAAATGGGCACAAAATCACCCCCAAATCACCCTAAAATCAACCCAGAGTCACCCAGGGTCTCGTCATTCACCTCATTGCCCAAATCCCCACAGAAAATACGGAAATCATCTGGAAAATGGAAAAAACACCCCAAATTAACCTAAATCAGCCAGGGTCTCGTCATTCACCTCATTGCCCAAATCTCCACAGAAAATACGGAAATCATCTGGAAATGGGACAAAAAATCATCCCAAATTAACCCTAAAATCAGCCCAGGGTCTCGTCATTCACCTCATTGCCCAAATCCCCACAGAAAATACGGAAATCATCTGGAAAATGGGACAAAAACTATCCCTAAAATCAGCCCAAAGTCACCCCAGGGTCTCGTCATTGACCTCATTGCCAAAATCTCCACAGAAAATACGGAAATCATCTGGAAAATGGACAAAAAACACCCCAAATTAACCCTAAAATCACCCCAAAGTCACCCCAGGGTCTCGTCATTCACCTCATTGCCAAGATCCCCACAGAAAATACGGAAATCATCTGGAAATGGGCACAAAAAAACATCCCAAATTAACCCTAAAATCAGCCCAGGGTCTCGTCATTCACCTCATTGCCAAGATCCCCACAGAAAATACGGAAATCATCTGGAAATGAGACAAAAAAACATCCCAAATTAACCCTAAAATCAGCCCAAAGTCACCCCAGGTCTTGTCATTCACCTCATTGACAAAATCACTACAAAAAATATGGAAATCATCTGGAAAATGGACATAAAAATGCCCCAAAAACACCCCAAATTAACCCTAAAATCACCCCCAGGGTCTCGTCATTCACCTCATTGCCCAAATCCCCACAGAAAATACGGAAATCATCTGGAAATGGGCACAAAAACGCCCCAAATTAACCCCAAAATCAGCCCAAAGTCACCCCAGGGTCTCGTCATTCACCTCATTGCCCAAATCCCCACAGAAAATACGGAAATCATCTGGAAAATGGGCATAAAAATGCCCCAAAATCAGCCCAAATCACCCCAAAATCAGTCCTAAATCAGCCCAAAGTCACCCCAGGGTCTCGTCGTTCACTTCATTGCTAAGATCTCCACAAAAAATATGGAAATTGTGCGGAAAATGGGCACAAAAACACCCCAAAATCACCCCAAATCACCCCAAAATCAGTCCTAAATCAGCCCAAAGTCACCCCAGGGTCTCGTCATTCACCTCATTGCCCAAATCCCCACAGAAAATACGGAAATCATCTGGAAAATGAGACAAAAAATCATACCAAATTAACCCTAAAATCACCCCAGGGTCTCGTCATTCACCTCATTGCCCAAATCCCCACAGAAAATACGGAAATCATCTGGAAAATGGGCACAAAAACATCCAAAATTAACCCTAAAATCAGCCCAGGGTCTCGTCATTGACCTCATTGCCAAAATCTCCACAGAAAATACGGAAATCATCTGGAAAATGGGCACAAAAACACCCCAAAGTCAGCCCAAATCAGTCCAAAATCAGTCCAAAATCAGTCCTAAATCAGCCCAAAGTCACCCCAGGGTCTCGTCATTCACCTCATTGCCCAAATCTCCACAAAAAATATGGAAATTGTGTGGAAAATGGGCACAAAAACATCCCAAATTAACCCTAAAATCACCCCAGGGTCTCGTCATTCACCTCATTGCCCAAATCCCCACAGAAAATACGGAAATCATCTGGAAATGGGACAAAAAATCATCCCAAATTAACCCTAAAATCAGCCCAAAGTCACCCCAGGGTCTCGTCATTGACCTCATTGCCAAGATCTCCACAAAAAATATGGAAATTGTGTGGGAAATGGGCAGAAAAATGCCCCAAAATCACCTCAAATCACCCCAAATCGCCCCAAAGTCACCCCCAGGTCAGGGGGACACCCCAAAATCAGCCCCAAAGTCACCCCAGGGTCTCGTCATTCACCTCATTGCCCAAATCTCCACAGAAAATACGGAAATCAGCTGGGGGGACACCCCAAAATCAGCCCAAATCACCCCAAAAATCAACCCAGATCACCCCAAAAGGTAATGGGGACACCCCAAAATCAGCCCCGGGGTCAGGGGGACACCCCAAAAGTCAGGGGGGCACCCAAAAGGTCACCAGAGACCCCAAAAGTCACCCCCAAATCACCCCCAGGTTGTCTGGAAATGAGAACAGGGGGACACCCCAAAATCAGCTCCAGGGCCAGGGGGACACCCCAAAGGTCAGAGGGACACCCCAAAAATCACCAGAGACCCCAAAAGTTAATGGGGACACCCCAAAATCAGCCTCAAAGGTCAGGGGGACACCCCAAAGGTCCCCACAGACCCCAAAAATCAACAGAAACCCCAAAAAGGTCAGGGGGACACCCCAAAGTCACCCCCAGGTCACCACAGAAGATCCTGAAATCATTAACGGAGACACCCCAAAATCGACCCAACTCACCCCAAAATGGGCAGAAAAACACCCCAAAATGAGCCCTAATCACCCCAAAATCAACCCAAATCACCCCAAAATTGACCCAAATCACCCCAAAGATCAGGGGGACACCCCAGAGGTCAGGGGGACCCCAAAAACCACCAGAGACTCCAAAAGGTCATGGGGACACCCCAAAATCAGTCCCGGGGGCAGGGGGACACCCCAAAGGTCAGGGGGGCACCCCAAAAATCCCCAGAGACCCCAAAAGTCACCCCCAAATCACCCCCAGGTCCCCACAGAAGATCCCAAAATCATCTGGAAAACAGAGAAACA